GCATGAGTCTGGCTTAGGGGGTCTCTGCTGAAGGCTTCTACAGGCCTTAAGATGCTCAGTGTTAAGATATTTATTTGTTCATAAGGCAACACCTCTACCACCTTAATGCCTAGCACGGAATACAGCAGTGCTGAATAAATGAATTAAAGCATCCTTCAAAAATTGCTCTGAATCATGACCTACAAGGAAATATGAGATGTGGCTCTTTGCGGCAGATTATCTAACAATATCAAGATAATGTCTTCCTGGCTGAGAATCCTAACAATGCCAAAGACTGCAAAAATCTCCAAACCATCTCCTCACCCTAGATTAAAATCATCAAGTCATCTTCTAAAGGGTCAGCCATAAGCATCACAAGGACAATTCCAAGGAATACTTACTCTATGGAAAATAGGTCAACAGTTGTTTCCCCTGATCCATTTTATCAGAATGATTGTCACCATGTCAGAAATGCTAAACATCATCAATATATAATATACATGGATCTCTAGAATTGACCACAATGTACACAATTTCAATAAGAGATAGTTATTAAAACCATGTGATCTAGGAGTCCTGAAATGGTCTGAATACTACAACACAAAAACTACTTTACAATGTCAAATAGCCATTAATGCCAACAGATAGCTATTAATAAGCTACACAGAAAATTTGACAAGCCTCAGCACATGGACACAGTTGTAAAACCCACGTCTTTAAAAGCTCTGAAGGAATGTAAGCCACCTATTAGAAAAATAAACTTTTATAGGATTCTTGCTAAAAGCCCAAATTCTCTGATAATCAAGTCTATGAAAAGGCCACTTTGTAATGCTGATTTGACTCAGAAAAACAAACAAAACAAAACAAAAACAACCTGCATCCATTCCATTCTTAAGTGCTGAAGGGAAGCCACTAAAATAATGTTTCCCTCTGTGATAATGCTATTTATGAAATCACTCTGTCAGTGTCTCTAAACATTTAGACCTCTTTCATAGTTTACACCTCTTAAACTAATTGCGTTGCAGGGATTTGGCTCTGAGGAAACGCTCCACACAAGATGCATCAGGGAACAGAAGATCAAAATGGCCAAAATTGCTGCTGACTCACGGGTGTTTAAAAGTTTCAACAAATGATATCTAACTGCATGCTAACTGGTTAGCGCCCTTCCCTTATGGTTTACCAATCCTATACTTATCTATAGTGCTATCACACTGAAATGATAGGTTCTTGTGAAAGGACATTAGCGGTAATAATATACTTTATGGTGGTATTCATTCGTGGACCTCTTAAACAAGTTTCAACACTTAGGAATTGAATATTATCACAGTAAGCCCAACTTCCATAAAGAAAACCAACAGCCTTGATTTCCCCTGTGTATCAGCATTAAGTGTGCACTGAGGGGTATTTCATTGTTACATCAAACAACATGCTGATGAAGTTATTTTTAAAATAATAGCTTCCCCTGCTCTGGGTAGCAAGGGATTGAATATTAAAAGTGTATTGTGTAGTATGTGCTGTAAAACCGTGGAAGAAATTTTAATAATTGTGATATCAACTAAAATAAATTTAACTGTATCAAGATGTTTATTATAATACATACTATAAATGACAATTTTCATCATGTCATGTACAGGAGGTGCTCTTAGAACTGTGCATTAAGTCAAGCAAAACTGACATGAAACTAACATATATCCCAAGTTGAAAACTCTGAGCTGTGTAATATCAAAACATGATCGGCAAAGGGAGAAGAAACATAAGAGAGTCCCGAAGGACTGGTACAGAGCCAACATTTGTACATTGTCCAAACAGACGGTCCCCATTCTAGATGTGGCTTCATCTAACTCCTAATGGAGAAAAAGCCAAACGATAGCATGGAAACCTGGAGGGACAGCCACCGGATGGCCTCTATCAACTAACTAAAGAACACGTGGAATTCAGCTCTACCAGGTTTTCTAAGTACCATGACTATACCATCAGTACATCAAAATCGGCCTTTGGATTTGCACAGCCTAAGTCTTGCCCAACAGACAAACAAAAGATAATGTCTATTCATGGATCAGAAACAGAATGGATATATTGCTACCCAATTTTCTGAAAGTATTCATAGCTCAGTCAGTGAAGTGCTTCATAAGCATGAAGACCCGAGTTCAATCCCAAGCACCCACGTAAAAAGGTGGGCAAGGTGGCACATGCTTATAATCCCAGTGCTGGGAAGGCAGAGGCAGGAGGACCCTCAGGCTCCCTGGCAAGTATGTCTAACATAATTGGTGAAATTCAGGTCAATGAGAGACCTGTCTCAGAGGAGATGATGGGCTTTCTGAGGATGACACCTTATATTGCCCTCTGGCCTACACACACAAACACACAAACACACATACACATCATACACATGCACATACACACTAACAGGTACACATCAGGCATGATCTTTTTATTACAGTTATATGAAAATGTAAACTTCAAACATTTCTCCAAATCAAAGGTTTTTATAAATTATGCATCATAAATTCTATGCAAATATATCACCACTTGTTTAAAAACAATTTATTCCATAAATGTTATCATAACATCTTAGTTAATGTATGTGTTTTCCATGAAAGTCAAAAAATACTCAAAATTTTCATGGTTAAAATTGTCTTCTGTGTTAGGAAAGTTCTAATGTCTTCCAAATTTTTACTTGCTGCAAACTCTTGCAAAAATAAAAAGTACTGCTGGGCGGTGGTGGCGCACGCCTTTAATCCCAGCACTCAGGAGACAGAGGCAGGTGGATCTCTGTGAGTTCGAGGCCAGCCTGGGCTACAGAGTTGAGTTCCAGAAAAGGCTCCAAAGCCACACAGAGAAACCTTGTCTCGAAAAACCAAAAAAAAAAGTACCTACATTTTTATTAAACTTCTTTTGGTTTAAGTGACATAATCGAGATAATTAAAATGATACTTAACATTCATAACCCAGACCATAATAGTGGATAGATGTAATTCAGCTTTTTTTTAGTCTTTTATGACCCTAAAACTGATGGGACAGTACTCAGAAAGTCAAACTCCAAGACATTTAAGGAGATCTGAGCATATGGCTTTCCCCTAAATATCTAGTAAATCCATATTAGATCAGACTATCCCCTACATTAACTACTCAAACATATGATGCACATACACATCACATATACAGGTTGACAGTCACAAAATTATGCCCAACAGAAGTAAACTCATTGTCATACACAAACGAGGAGCATGGTACTGTAAAGAACACAGGAAAATAACCATAGCAGCTAGCATTTCCTCAGTAAGCCCAGGACATATTCCTCAACAGATTAACCCAGTATGTTATACACACATTGACAGTCTTCAAGTTTTCAAAGTCAAGTCACACAGAACACAGAGATGTGAAAGGACTTGTCGCCTAAGCAAGCCTAAGTCTGTGCAAAAGGAACCCAGAGCCCACTGTCCTTGACACTAGGCGGCACTGTCTAGTCCAGTGGACAAAAGGTTCCACCTTTGAAAGTACAGTCCAGAAGGAAGTTTCTAATCACTGACTGGTACTTTAGCTGAATGTCAGTTCCTATAAATAGTAGGAACTTAACTCTTAAAAATACACCTATTCTTAAAGCAAGTGATTATGAAATCGTTTGGAGAACAGAAATAAGTATGCTCTTAACAAATTTCACAGCCATTATAATATTTTTCCATTCCAAATCAACCTAAGAGCATTTGTAAAGCACTCTAAAATAAATTAGGTGGGTTATAAAATGGGGAGATTTTTGAAACACTGATAAATGAACAATCTAAGTTTCTTTCTTACTACTAAGTGGGAAAAGTACACAAGAGACATTCATTCTCCTGAAAACTTGACTTTTCAGACACACTGACATTTAGGTTCCTCAAAACGTTCTCATAAAAGTGTACAACTTATGACAATTAACACTCTGATGCTGTGAATAGTAGGCAAATAGATCAAGGCACTGTGAATACAAAAGGTAATTCCAAAGGGTAAAGACCTTCTCTCTCATCCACCGGGAGGAGCTCTCCCACAGAGGCTCTTGTACTCAGTTCTGAGCTCTAACCTGCAGCAAAGGGAAGAACATCAGGAAGACTGAAAGCTGAGCCTTGCCTCCTACCCACACCATGGGGCACATTTAGAATGTATGTGACACTTGGGATACTTTGGTTTGCTAATTCACTGTGGAGCTGTGAGTCAAGTGAGGTCCCCTGAGAGCGCTGTCCTTTTCATTCATTCACACTAGGGAACAGGGTAGAGGAAGCACTGCGGAGCATGTCAAATGCAAAGTGCCTAATTATTCTTGCCAAGGTCTTCCAATTTCGACTCTAATTTTAAAACCCCACTAGACTGAGGTTTTTGGCTCATACTGTGCAATGTCGGATAAGAGAACAATGTCCTGAGTGTCAATGGATATAATTTCAGTAGCTAGAACCCCAGCTTCATATTCCCATGGTAACTGCTTTTTTCAATGCATTGCTTTTAATATTTCTGCTTCTTAAAGATAAATATTTTAACTGACTTGTTCACATTCTTAAAAAGAATAATGTAACTGTGGTGAGCATGCTAGACTTACTCAATATTACAACAGCAAAAAGTACAATATACTTCCTCAACTTTAGTAATTCAGTCAACAAATGTTTTCTGAGCATCTACTACATACAGGCATGACACCCGCAGACAAGCTTCCTGGGGAGAAAACAATGAACCAATCTTAAGAATTTTTTATTAAGCAAATTTATTATTTACAACTTTTTCAGGAAAAAAAGCCTCAAGAAATCTATTGCTCTGCAATATATTTAGGTGTTTCAAGTCTGATTCTCAGTTGCAAGTAGATTTTGTTTTCTATCTAATCAGCTTCATTTTATTCTACAAAACCCACATTTTCTTTAAAACAATGAATGACAACACACCTTTAAAAACAAAACGAAAACAACAAAAATCTCTTCCTGTTTTCCCAAAGCCTGCCCATATTCATTCCCTTCTCTGGCATGGGCACACCTGCAAAGATCCGCTGGGCACCCTCTCACCTGAAAAAGAGTTTGGAGATAAAGCTGGCTTTCTCCAAAGGCGACTTCTGCATGATGTCTCCGTGGTGCACTGAGGTCTGTGTCCCGACAAGTAAAGGTTGGACTCGACCTCTGTATATCCAGGACACAATCGATCCTTTTGGCTCTTCCCTTTTTCTCGGACCTGCGGTGATGTCATTTGCTTCCAATTCCCCCCAACCAACTGGGCCCCACACACCTCCCCTTCCCTCTGCCTTCTTCGCCCGCCTCCACAGCCCAGGTTAAAAGCCAGCGCCGGCTAGCCCAGCCCCACAGTCGCTGCTCTCCACGCCCCGCGCCCGCCCCGTGCGCTCCTTCCTCCTGCGCGCCTTGCGCAGGCCGCCCGCGCCTCCTTTTCCCGGCTCTCACTCCGGGCGCCCTCCAGCGCCCCCCGCGCCCCTACCTTCCGGCAGCAGCAGCTGTGGCACCTCAGACATCAGGCCCAGGAACCCCCCGGCCAGTCTGTGGGACTTGCAAGTCTTCACAGGTGGGGCCAAAGAGCACACACTGACCCCCTTGGCTTCCGCAAGCCTTTCTACTCCGACTATTCCTTCTCTTTCTCCCTCTTCTTCTTTTCCTCCTTCAACTTTTTCTTTTTCTCCCTCTCCTCTGCCTTTTCTTTCTCCTCCTCCTTCTCTCTCTGCTCCTTCTCCACTTTCTCCTTCTTCATTGCTTTCTCCCTCTCTTTCTCTTCGTCCTTGTCTGCCTTCAATTCTTTCTCTTCCTCGGTCTCTTTCTCCTCCTCCATCTCCTTCTCTTCCCTCTCCTCCTCTGCCCTCGTCTCTTTCTCCGTCTTCATCTCTTTCTCCGTCTTCATCTCTTTCTCCTTCTTCATCTTTTTCTCCTTCTTCATCTCTTTCTCCTTCTTCATCTCTTTCTTCATCTATTTCTACTCCATCTCTTTCTCCCTTTTCTTCTCTTTCTCCTTCTTCATCTCTTTCTCCTTCATCTCTTTCTCCTTCATCTCTTTCTCCTTCTTCATCTCTTTCTCCTTCTTCATCTCTTTCTTCATCTATTTCTACTCCATCTCTTTCTCCCTTTCCTTCTCTTTCTCCCTTTCCTTCCCTTTCTCCCTCTTCTCTTCCCTCTCCTCCTCTGCCTTCATCTCTTTCTCCTCTTTTTCCTCCTCCTTCTCTTTCTCTCCTTCCTCCTGTCTCCTTAGCTTCTGGCTGAGTTACAGTTAACTTTTCAAGATCCATTTTGAACAAAGATGAAAATGTGGCTCCTCTGTATCAAAGCACAGACTCAGAAAGCTGTAAAGTTCCACGGTAGTCTGAGGCATCCACCTCAGCAAGCCCCTCAAGAGCTGGACAGGACCTAAGCTCTGTTGACTGAAGGCTCTTAGGGTAGCCGTAGCAGCACAGACTCCTATGAGGTACATGTGTGTCATACACATATGTCACAATTCCGGTATGTCATAATTACTGCAAAAGCCCTACCAAGGAAAGGGGAGCTACTGCTTTCCCCTATGAGGCACATGTGTTTCATACGCACAAATCACAATGTCCTGATAGGCCATAATTACAGCCATAGTCCTTGAGGACAAAGGGAGCTACTGCTGTCCCCACTTTCCACTCAGGATGTGTTCAGTGTGTGCTGCGGTTTGTGTTTCAGAAGGCTTTTATGTGTGTGTGCTAGAGAGTCACAAGTGGACTGTCTACTAAATGACCTTCCTTTAGATTTCCTAGTCTTGCTAAGAAAATATCTCGACTAAGACACTGACAAAAACCCAGGGTCACTGAAGCAAAGGTATCCTGTTCACCAAGAGCTCACTGAGAGAAATGCCTGCCTGGGTCTTTAGCTCCCTGAGAGCCTTGAGAGTTTTCCAGGCTATGTGCCTTCCTTCCAAGCTTTTGGTGTGTGAATTTTGTGTCCAACACAAAAACCTGCTGGGTTTTAAAGGACCAACCCTTAAATTACTGAACCCTGTTATGCCAAAACAAGTAAAATAGAGTTTGAATTACATTTTTCCTTTTATTGAAAATAGAATTTTCTTTTTAGCCAAGCAGTGATGGCACAGATGTCTGAGTCTGAGGCCAGCCTGGTCTACAAAGCAAGCTCCAGGAAGCCAGGGCTACACAGAGAAATCCTGTCTCAACAAACAAAAAACAAAAAAAAAAAAAAACAAAAAAGAAAACAAAAGAAAATAGATTTTTCCCCCCTCAGACAATATCTCGTGATTACTGTTTTCTCTCCCTCTACTCCTCCCAGTTCCTCTCCACATCCCCTTCTATCTGGATCCACTCCCTTTCTGTTTCTCATTAGAAAACAGGCTACTAAGGAATAATAATGTAATATAATATAATATATAATAAAACAAAAACTAACACATTGGAATTGGACAAAACAGACAGAAAACAGCCTCAGAGAAGGAAGGCACAAGAAAGAACTAATTAACTTTTCATTGTCCTTTCAAGAGGAAGCACTAATCTCAAAGTCATAATATACATTCGGAGGAGCTGGGACAGACCAGACAGGCCCTGTGCCCACTGCCTCAGTCTCTGCGAGTTCATATGACTTCGCTCATGTTGATTTACAGGCCTTATTTTCATGGTGTTCCCCATCCCCTCTGGCTCTTACACTCTCCATGCCTTCTCTTCTCTTACACTCTTCATGCCTTCTCTTCTACAGGGTTCTCTGAGCCCTGAGGGGAGAGATTTGATGGAGATATACCATTTAGGGCTGAGTGTTCCAAAGTTAGAGTTTGAGATTTAAAAAAAAATAAAAAATTTAAGTGTTCTGGCCTGATTCTTGCCTCACCATCTAAACACAGGGGTGTTTACGTGTGGATTATCTGATTTTTGACTTGTGGACATCCAACTAACAACACAAATAAAATATGTATTTCATAATACTGCTAAGACAAGAAAATACATTTAAATTAATGAATCATGACCAAGAGGCTTTACAGCTCTACTTCCCATATCTACATTACCCTTTTTCCTTATCTTAAAACAGTTGTAAAGACATTTAATTTTTAGTGTCCTAAATTTGATTTAAAAAAGAATAGCAAAAATGATAAAGTTCTTACACACAGACAGTAGTGGGGAGCTTCAGTATTTTCTAGCTCTGTGTTCTGAAGAACTGTATTTGTGTTTTTCTCTCTCCATTATGACAACGTTGAAACTCAGTCCTCACTATTGACTTTCCCCAGCTATGCCACTGAACTCATCTTGTCCTTTCCCCACCCTCCCTCTGTTGTGTCTAAGTACTAGTGTGACCCATCAAATGTGATGCACAGATTCTGAAATTAATCTATTATCAGTTCCTCTTTGTTCTCACCATCATGTGACTCTAAGATGAAGACGTAAGTTCATCACTTTCAATCAAAGCTGACCAAGCTCTACAACTTCAGGAGATCTCAAGCTGCTTCCTCTTGAAAGGACAATGAAAAGTTAATTAGTTCTGGCATTTCCCAGGGATCATTCATTCAACAGCCATGTGAGTACATGTCAGCATGCCTATTATGCCATTTCCAGTTGATGAATCATCCAAGTGAATAAGTGTCTGTATTAGTGGATTCAAAGTCAGATGTGGTCCCAAGCATTCAGTCCCAACAGTGTGCAGCATTACTTCTAATCAAATCTCCCATCATGTATTCACATTCTGTCACCACAATTTTCTTTCTCCCCAGATTAGTTTCATGAAGTTAAAACTTCTACACCTGCTCAACAATAAGACGGGGAAGCAGAAACCTACAGACCAAGAAGCCAATAGAGTTATACATCTTTGATAAATGTTATGTAAACATTATAATCCATACTAAGTGTATACACATGAGCACAGGAACACCCTGGATTTTTATAATAAAACATCACATCCCAAACTTGTTTGGGGAGAAGATTTCAACAAAGTAGACATGTCCAAGTGAAGTAATTGAGATATGATATACAGAATTTGTATCTAGGTACAATCCTGATACAAGTGTGAAAATGCATTAGAAAAATGTTCAGATGTAAATAAGGTTGTGAATGAGAATCTCAAGGGAAATCAACATATCAGGATGAACAGAAGAGGTGATAGTAAGCTATAGTGACTTTTCTCTTCAAGATAATCAAATACCAGCTCATATCATCCTATAACATTATTACAATAGCTTACATTCATTAGACATTTACTATATATCCTGAATACAATTACAAATATACAGTGATTCACCTCATTTAATCCTTAGGACACATTCATGAACAGGTAACTAATATCATGTGCTGCAGAGGAAGAACCTGAGGAACAAAGATTTACTAATTTCTAAATTAAGTTGCATGGCTGATAATAACAGAGGTGGCTAGGGGTGCAACTCAGTGGCAGAACATTATTTAGCATATACCAAATCCTGGGTCCTATTCACAGAGTGATCAGTCAGTAATAATGAAAGAGGAAAATGGAATTTGAAGCTAAACAGTCTTTTCTGAGCCCTGGGACTCAGTGGTGGACTCAGACACAATGGTCTGCAGGATTGACTGACATTTTAGCAAGAGCTGATCTTCAGTACAGATGAGTAACAGGCACTCTTGTGTCATACCTCTAAAGGTATACTAAGAAGAGAGGACTGCCAGAGGAAGGGAGAAAGGAAGAGTAGGAAAGTGGATGAAAAGAAAGAAAGAAAAGGAATCCATATCTATTTGGCACCTACTGTACGCTCACCAGTGTGCCAGGCGCTTTCTACAAATGACCTTAGCAATATAAGCTTCCTGTCATATGCTTCTCCACCAGCTAGAGAATGGCTGAAGTTCTCCCCATTAGAGATCCTAAGAGTGCACTCATACTACACCTCACTTTGATCCATCATGTTCAACATAATTTGAGTGTATCCAAATCTTTCCTGAGGGAGTTCTGTCCTAAGTGGGTAGCAGTTGTGGATGCACTGAAATCTGGAGAAGTAGAAGGATGAGAATGTCCTTCCACAGCAAGACAAGCTCCCAAAAGAGAAGGCAGACCTCACCAGCTTCACATGTACAGTATGGCTGTGCTTAAAAACTTATCAAAGGCAGAAGGCAGGGGCAGTCACAGCTCCTCCACAGCTTGTCACAAGGATCATTCATGACGCAAATACATATCACCACAGGCTTACAACACTGTTTAAGGCTGGAAGGAGAGACACCCTGGTACACAGCCCAGTTGGCCATCTTTTATGCTTCCAACATTACATTTGGTCCAACAAATCTGTTTACACACACACACACACACACACACACTTGATATACACATAGAACTCTGCTTCCACGTACCCCGTTTCATTTTAACTCA